TACACACACAAACATCTACTATTTACCTATTTAATAAGATAAATTGGATCACTGAAAAAGATCAGTTGTTCATCTCGATTTAAAAAAAAAGTATATTGAAATATTGACAACAAAAAACCTGCTGTAGTGTGTGACATGGTTAATTGTCAGTATGTACGGGTGGATTAAAATATGAATGAAAAACAAACGTGGAGTATTGGCAAAGCAGCTTGCTAAACTTATTACACTTAGAGATTCTCATAGATGCTAATCTGACCCTACACTTGGTCACCTTGCCTGTTTATTAGACTGGACATAATCAGAGGTACCATCCCCTCGCCATTCATTGTCAAAGCTGTCCTTACTAATGTACTAAATGAGTTAAATTTAATCTTGTATACATCATACAAATTGGCCAAGGTGGTTAGCAGGGCAAAGCTGTTACAATCATCTGTTACAAAGATAAATCACTGAAACTGCTTTACTAGCTATGCTATGCTAGCTGTGTTTCTACAAAAAGTGCAGATCGTAACTGATCTCACAGCACTGAGAGCAGACCCAGCGACAACTTGCCTTGCATGTGCAGAAAAAAAAGGCTCTTACGTTAATGTTGTTAATGATATAACAACATTATATCATTGTCATTGTCAAAGGAAGACAGACACACACTCAAAACAGAGAGAGCTGCAGTCTCTTACGAGATTAAAATAAGCACAGCTTTCAGCCAATAACTGACTTCAGCCACAAGACGGCAGTAATGTAGTGGCTGGATGCACATATTGACAGGTGAGGAGCTTTATGACAGCACTGTCTGGGATGAAAGGAGAGAGACTGCTTTACTTTGGTATATTTTCATTTATTTCTGTTTTTAGATTTGACAAGGCCTTGTTTATCCTTTCAAAACTATATACTTGCATTGCTTGAATTGACAAGAATCTATTGTACTTATAATTATTTAATAATTACTTTAAATGAAACAAGTTTTGCAGATTTATTGTCATTGTTTTTTTGTTTCATTTCTTATTTATATATATATATATATATACATATTTTCTTCATTTTTTAACAAATATAGTGATGAAAAGTAAGATCGACCTTCAAACTTTAAAAGAATAGTTGCTTTGCATTGTATACACCTAACATGAGCAGCAGTGCACAGGTTGCTAGAAGAAAAACTTGCATTGCATGGAAGAAACTAACACACAAGGATCAGTGTTTTGGAGATAATATTTGTTTGCTACAAGAGCAAGTTCTGTTTGTCTGTTTTGGTCTTAACTGCAAACAGACCAAGTAAAAAACAGTTCTGTCAACTGAGCTTTCTCTGTCAGCTTCTTTAGCTCAGTTTCATTATGTTACTTTAGGTTTAACACTTTTTGGGAAGCCTTTTTTGTTCTTATTGTAGTGTACTTAATTGCTATTACATTCACTTCTCTTGTATTCTATTCAGTTCAATTCTTATTTATACAGCGCCAAATGACAACAACCATCACCTCAAGGCGCTTTATACTGTAAGGTAGACCCTACAAAAATAATAATAATATAATAATAAGACTTCTGGAACAACTTACTTAGGACAGATGAGACCAAAGTGAAAATATTTCATATATATAAGGCACAGTGTCATGTTTGGCAAAAACCAAACACAGCATATCAGCTCATACACCTTATACTAGCTGTCAAGCACGGTGGTGCAGGGGTGGTAATGTGAAATTTGAGGCCATTTGTCCACCAGTTGAAGGTTGGCCAAAGTTAGGTCGTGTAACAGGACAATAATCCCAAACACAGCAGCAAAGCTACAACAGAATGGATATAGGTGTAATAGGGCCTTAAGAGAACTGTACATAAATGAATGTCCACCAGCCTCAATGAACTGAAGCAATGTTGTAAAGAAGAGCGAGCAGGAATTCCTCCATAACAATGTAAGAAATGTATAAATTCATGTAGAAAATGATTGCTAACTAACGGTGGTGCTACAGGATATTGAATAATGAAATGTACTTGGCTGTTCACATGTCTGCACAGAATTTTGTTAAAACTTTCTTTCTCTCGTAACTGCATATTTAGCCATGGTAAGTAACAAGGATCAAATCAGTTACACAGGATAAGTGAAATCAACTGTGGGTCCCTGATTGAGTTTGGTCAAAACTGCACAAAAATTTTCTTTAGATAATTTGCTCAGCGTGTCAGATTATGATGTATATTTATGCAAAATCTCCAAAAGCTTAATCAGTTTGTCAATTTCCTATTTTGCACATTGTGATTTGAGCTCTCTAACTCTGAGAAACTTTATGGCCTTGAAGGTGTTAACACTAACTCCAAAACAACTGAAAGCACATGTATTAAAAATATGCATCACAAATACATCAATATTTTCTTATCGCAGGATGCCCAGGTGTTCTGGCATATAGGCTGATACACATAATGGCATCATACCTGGCATCCACAGAGTCTCTGCAAGACTGGTGGTGCAGATTTTACACCATCTGGAGCTTGCACACTTGTGCCACCCCACCCAGTGCCAAGAAGATGATTGCTATCAGCATGATTATGCCTTTATTACATTAGCCGTGCATTGTTTACAGACTTGTGGCTCTACCCATGCCAGGCTGTAAGGAATACTTTTATGTGAGAAGGCAGTGGGAGGGTGGAGTGATCAGCTCGACAGCTGCTAAAAACATTTTCCTCATTGCTACGTAAACGTGCCACTGCGGGAGGAAATTATAAAGAGGGGCCCTCTGAAAATGCTTTTGTTAGGATTTCCTTCTTAAGGGATATTCTTGATTTTACTGTGAATAATAATTTTGCAGGTTCTGTTTCAACACTTGCACTTGATCGGATAACCAAAAATACGTGTGAAGTGAGTATATAGTATACACTATATACTTGCCTCAAAGATTTCTGATAGTAGATGATAAAAATGGACTTTTATGCTTCAAGTACTCCTAGAGTTCATTAATATCATCACTTCTAACACAGCATTTAAAAGAAATAATTTCAAGGATAGACAGAAATTCCTCCAACATTTTAAAACAGGGAAAGTGGAGAGTTTAGATATGACTTCTGTGATGAATGTAGCAAATTCATTTTGGAGCTATGGTGAAAATGGAGCCATTTTGCCACCGTTGCAGCTCATATTAGTGGCATGCCAAGGAATGAAGACATGATCAGAGGAGGGAAATGCTCTGCCAATGTCTGCCTCTTCTATGCCAGAGCATGGGGAGAAGGGAAAGGTGGTGGGCAGTGCCAACTTTCCATACCAGCTGGAGAGCTGGTGAAAGGCATTGTTTCTCTCAGCTCCTATCAGCCCTTGTAGTAGCTGATCTGTATGACCATCCCACTATTTCAAAATAGAATTAGGCTATCTCGCCAGACACACTAGTGGCCTAAATGCTGATTTCTTACAGTGAAAATAAAGCTTAGTCTGAAATGTATTGAAATGTTAATCTGTCATTTTATCTTAAACATAAACCAGTCTGTCTGTTTTTAAATGATATGACAGACTATCATTTTCTATACAGTAACATTGATGTTTTATTTAAACCTGTATGCCGTAGCCAAAGAAATAGGCCACAGACACTGGGTTATTAAAATTAATTACATTTTTTTCCCTTCATTCCACACCACATTTAACTTATGTCCCAAGCTAAACATGTGAAATCATTCCTTCTTAGCAGCATCCTCTACAGTGACTCCCTTCATCCCCATATAAAAAGGAGGCCATCAGTATTCCACTCACACTGCTGATGGTCAGAACACTAGTTCACAGAGCTTCACTGTCTTTTTCTCTGTCAATGCTCCCTCTGAGTACACTTTTCTTTGGCCATCACTACCAAACTTTGGCCAGATTTAAACAGACATCACCTTTCATAAGTGTAAACTACCACCCTCTCTTGGCCATGTCGGGGAGTTCAGCTGTTCATATTCGTATACCTACTGAAATATAATTACTGGGGTCATGCAATCAGTCACAGAGAGTTCTGCAGTCAGAAATGCAATTCTAAATGGTATATATAAACATGATATGTACACATATCAGTACTTTATTTTGTGCTATTTTTTTTAACATAAATTTTCATTTCTACCGTGTACATTAAACAGTTAAAGTAGATAAAAGGATAAATCTACACAGTCAAAAAGTCAGTGGCTTTGGATCCTGGTTTAGCTCAGTGCATTGAGCGGGTGCCCATGGGCCTGGGTTCGAGACCGACCTGTGGCCCTTTGCCTCTTGTCTTCCCCCTTTTCTCTCTGACCCCGCTTTCCTGTCATTTCTTCACTGAATCTAACAATGAAGTTGATAAAGACCCCAAAAAAAGGCAGTGGTTTTTATTAAGGGTTCGGTTGTGGTTTTACAAGCTTCTGACTCTGCTTTGGTATTTAAATTAAAATCGTAAATGCTGGTTGAAATTTACGTTGCATTAAAATATCCCCCCCTTCCTTGTCCCTTTAGGTCCAACTGGCTGAAGCCGTGCTGTGGGCGTCGAGTGGCCCTGTGGCAGGTCTGTCTGCTCAGTGCTGGCTTCAATTGCATCCTGGTGGCCTGCGTTATCCTGGTGGTGCTTTTCCTGTCTTTGGAGCTGCTCATAGACACCAAACTCTTACAATGTAAACAGTGTGCTTTTATTTGTCCCGTTTTAGCCGGTACTATTATGTAAGGAAAAATCTGCTGAGCATGCATATTCTTATCCATTAATACACAGTGTGACGTTCATAAAACACTTGGGAGGCATATAGTAGCAGCTCCACTGGAGCAGTGGGGAGTTAAACAGTTTAGTGTCCTCGAGAATTAAACACTGATGCTGTGTCTGCACTGTTCCCTACCTTCTGCTAGGATCACATTAAGGAAATATAGTTTCAGAAATATATAAGGTGTGCCATTATTTTTTTTTATTATTGTTTACACTGGACTTTCTCTATACATCAACCTGGGCAGTCATCGCTGCTTTGCAGCCTAAATGTCTTTAAAGGGAACCCTGTTAAGGTCAAGCAGAAGTATAAGTAATGTAAATAATGCATTTAAAGAAGCTGAAACTATCTTCACTTTACTGAGCTTCAAAAGAAAAGGGCTTCTTCCATATTACTATAAACAGCTATGATATTATAATAGGAGTTATTTTTCTACAGAATAAGTACCTGTACCAGATACTTGATATTTTTACTTATATTGAACTTTCGCTTGTTGTATCTGTGCTTTTGATCAAATAAAGCCTCTCAATATATCTTCCAATAATGCCATTATGAAAATACATGCTGCTGTTTACAAAGACCTAATTTTCCATTAAAATAAATGCATATGACTTAGATTGTGTTTACAGTCATGGTCACATATTGTAGAGTTTACAGTTACACAATACGTGCAACTCTGAAATCTGGCTCTTATACTATTTCACCTCAGTATGTATAGTAATTTATTTAAAAAAAACAAACAAAAACAACAAAAATAACCCCTGTAAAGATCCATTACATTTATCGTAGGTGCCATTGAAACTATTAGTAATTTTCTGTTGAACTTCTTGTGATAATGTCCACATTTAACTGTATTTTGTGTGCATTTTCGCTGTTTGTGTAGTCCTACTACACAAACAACTTGTGGAGCTGGACAATAAATGGTTATGATGGAGAGTGATGGATAGAGGTGATAATGAACCAAGATTCTTGTCAGTGGCAGCAGGCAGCCATCCTCATCGATTACTGGCCAGCGTCCAGCTCTGTTGATACTCGAGTCTCGCTGTGGGGACTGCAGGACTCTAGTCACTTTAGATCTATTGTAATCTAGTTCTCAAGTCCACTACCTGCCCCACAAGAGAAATAGCAGATGGGCAATAACATGGGATTGGGCAAGAGAGTGCAGAAACATATTAGTAGTATAGGAAGTGGGTATGCTGGTAGCACAGTGAGTTAATGGATGGACATGATTACACCAATTAGTTTTCTTACACTGTGCACCTTAAGGACAGTGCAAATAAACATTTATTCTGTTTCCTCTCTAAATAGTTTCCAATGCGTTCCAATTTGCCAGCATTATCCACTGGATCAGCCTTATCATTCTGTCACTCTTCTTCTCAGAGGTAAGATCTGTATATTATTCTCAATTACGTCACATTTTGGTTCCATCATTAACATAATCTCTTTTACTTTCCGAAATCTTTGCTCTTGGGCCAACGTAATAATCACAGAACGTTTAAATTGCAAAGATTCACTAAGATCTCACTTTTCTTGTTCATTTGCAATTAAATTAAACCAGCTAAACTATGTAACACCTCCATATCTGCAAACCAGGTTCAAACCTAAGGGAACTAGAGTAGGTAGTTGCTACCATTTATATTCCAATATTGTCTAGTCTTGATTAAGCTATAGCTTAAAAATGCTACCTGGAAGCAGAATCAGAATTAAATTTAAGCCATTGTTTGATAAAGTAATGTCTTTTCATTACTTTGTGATTATGAAAATAACATAAAGAGGAGAATATGGCCTAGAGGCCTCCACTCCAGTGCAAACCAATTACCCTGACAGCCTCAGCCCCAATGCCCTAACCCAAACTTTAATTACCGGTGAGCCAGCATGAGCAATAATTAAAGCTGAGCTTACAGAGCAGTGGGGATGGGGTTACAGTGATGTGATCCATGCACACAGGGCACCCACTGGCATCACAGAAGAAGAGGTGCACCAGCCAGTCCCCCTGCACCAATCAGAAAACACAATTCTTACATGTGGGCGGAGCAGCTGCTCGTCTCACCTGATACCAGCATTATTGTCTAACATGTGCTCCAGATGATGGATTAGCAGGACCACCTCTAGCTAATTAGAGTGTAAATCAATGTCCCTGCTTAACAGTGTACTGCAGCTAGCCACATTTTCCAGAGCATAAGTAGAATTTGATATGTGTGTATGTGTTTTCACAAATTTCATGCCATATTTCCATCAACAGAAATAATTATGCAATAACAGATTTACCACAGAGTATTATCAGCGGAAGGTATCATGTAGAAGTGCAGTAACTAAATACCTCCACTGAGATATTTAATGTAAATGTAATTTATATATTTATTTTTGGATACTTTTCTATTAAGAAGAAAATACTTTCTTTCCCATATATTAGAAAATTAGCAATTTTTGGATGTAAACATGACTTAAAGGAGTCTTTCACATCTATCAGCTTGCTGCCTCAATTATTCATTTCAAAATATCCCTTTATCTCTCTGTGTGCCTCAGACTGTCTTCAGAATTGTTGTTCTTGGGATCTGGGACTACATAGAAAACAAAGTTGAGGTTAGTACTGCTATACCGGCAACTCTTCATGTCAGATTTTAGTATATTATGTTTAATTCAGTTTAATCTGAATATTTATTTTTAACGTTTTCTATTTTTATTATTTTTAATTTAGCCTCTGGTTCTTGCATGGTATGACCATACTGACCTTTCCCACTTAAACACACTTATTGACCTTCTTGATGAAGGTTGATGGAAAGATTGTATAAATAATAACATCAAGGTAAACATGACATTTCTACATGCTAAAAACTCACTAGCTGGAGGTTAACAGAAACACTGGAAACATTTGAAAATAGCTGGTTGTGCCCAAGGTAAGAAAACTATACCAACCATACAAAAATAAATGAGATATAAAAAGGTTGTTAGCAGCACTGACTCATGCTTATGTGACAACTTTTGAACCTTTTGACAGGGCCACAGCCTGCTATCTGTTTTCACCAGTAGTGCTAAGCTGTGTCAGCCAGTTTCTGGTAGACAGATGAGAAGTACGATCAGAACGTTAAATTAAATACATTAAAAATGAAAAATTGATAGCGTGTGGTTATTCTCTTTAATGCAATCTTCTTGTGGAGCAATGCGTCATTTGCGACAGATCAAAATATAGCATCCTTTGCTATTACTAATCTCTCACTGGATGCCCTATTCCAGTTATTTGCTGTTGTGTGTTTCTAGCTGCTGGTATTCCTACATTAAAATCGATAATCTTTAACTCAATTTAAATTTTTGGGAAAAAAAGGAGTCACAGGGAATTGGTTTTAGTGAATAAAGTGGGTGATATACAATGATTGTGTTGGTGTGTCCCAAAAAATTGGGTGCCCTTTATTGCAATCTTACTGAACTTAATGCTGGCAGTATGACACTGGAGGAGGAGTTCATGGGGCACAATTCCATTAATTTTGAAGAAAATGAAGTGCACATTTCTGGCTGTTCTGGGACTTTTTTCATTGAAATCTGCAGCTTCCACATTACACTGAAGGTAGTTTGTTGGAGCCACAGTTTCCTTTCTGTTTGTTTGTTGAGGTCCATGGTGAAAATGCAAGTGCACTGAAAGTAGTTAGAAGTGACTTACGGGGAGCGATCTAAAAGTAGTCGAGAGTCGTAAGAGGTCGCTTTAAGGCATGGTAGTTTTATTTTTGTTTGTGATCGCATCTGTTCATGTCAACTGAACCTCAGATAGAATTCAATTAGGTAAATAAGGACTTTACCAAAATGTTAAAATATGCCTCTGAAGCAAAAAACTACATACATCCATGAATAAAATCCACATATAAGTATTATATTTGAGTCTCGCTAAATCAAGACCATAGAACTGGGGTCAGGGGTTGAGGGTTAACGGAATGGAGTTATGGCTCGTACGCTGAACTTGTTTTAATTCTGTATTTACTTTTGTCCCAAAAAGGTGTTTGATGGTGCAGTTATTGTGCTGTCCCTGGCCCCAATGGTGGCATCCACAGTGGCCAATGGGCCCAGCAGCCCCTGGGACGCCATCAGCCTCATCATCACACTACGCATTTGGAGGGTCAAGAGGATCATTGATGGTAAGGCAGACAAAAACTCTTTTTCCATCAAAATCCAGACTCAATTTCCAGAAATTTGAAAGTGACACATAAAATTCACACAGCATGCCAGTGGTCTTCTTCTTTTTTTTTTCAAAGGGGTCACACAGATGCAGCTAAGTGACCCCATTCTTTCCATGATTATACAAATTATTTGCGATTCAGAACAATACAGCTATTGATCATTCCTCAGAGTAAATTGCTTCCACTCTGCTACTCTAACTTGTATTGATTGCAAGTGTCTAGCTAAGTAGATTCACAGAAGCCATAATGAATATAGTGGTTGTTCTCTCCTATGCTAATATAGACTGGTTCGATATCCGCTCAGAGGTCACCCTCATGACGGATCTCTGAATGCATACAGGATGAGGTGCATGCAGAGCACATAGGAATTCAGTGTACAGTTCGTCCATGTCCAGTATTTTAATGTAAATATGTGTCTGTTGTTTTCTACAAAGCTTTAATACAGAGTTTAGGGAAACACACACCCACACACTCTATTTCTTTTTTTTTTTTTAACATTAACGTGCAGCTGCTCACGTGATTTCTAGGGAGGGAACATGTGATTTTCCTGGCGCACCTCAAACTACTAGGGAAAAAAAGTGAACACAACCCAAAAAATATAAAGTTAAAGGACTGGCTCAGTTATCACATGACAGTAATCAAATCTTTGGAAAAAAGAGTTTGAGATATAAAGTGGCAAAGTTTGTGCAAGAGTGAATTTCACCACAATTTGTCATGATCATCAGGTAATGTTAATCTCTCAAACTTTTGAAATTAGTTCTCTAGAAACAAAACAACCAAAAAACACAAAAAAATCTCCATCATTATCAGTTTGACTCACCAGCGCTTGAACACTGCTTAACAATGAACCAGGAAGGTTAAGTTGCTATTTTTTCATGCTGAAAGTAAGCTAGAGGTTGGTCTAAATCACTGAATATGAATTATCTATACTTTATTATAAATGCCTAATAAGATGTTTTTGATTTTCTGCATTGACCTCTGATACCAAAATTTGTAGTACAGATAAACGTCTGTAAAATACAAATCCAACAAGCTATTATGCAACACCTTGAGCAAAGCATATGTATATAGTGTGTACATAATATATAATGAAATGTAATTAAAAAAAAGAAATGTAACTTTTGGTTGTAGCAGATTGAAGAGAGAGTTGATTTTATGGCTTCAATACACAAGGGATCTGTGAAACATGTGAGTGGAGAAAGTGCAGCAAGGAATCTGTGAGGATTGTGGATGTTTTCATGCACTGATTGTGTTAAAATGCACTTATTCTACATCATGTAACCTGACATACAGTCTAGAAAATTCTAGAAAATGTGTTTATTTTTCATGCATTCACCAATTCCATGCAAGGCACTGGCCTGCCTTTAGGTTCAGTGCCTGGGACACTGGGACAGAGGCCAGGGCAATCAAACCACCACCAACACTGGACTCTGAGAAGTTGTCGGATTAATTGTGGTGTGAATTACACTGTTGTGCAAGTGCTGGCAGAAACTGTCACCACAGCTGTGGCACACACATGCACACACAGACACTATAATCACATAACCAACCCTGCTAAGCTTGTAAATGCACAGTGCCACACAAATGTATTGCATTGTGTAGCTAAATAATTGAAGCTCTGATTGAGCTTTTCATGCTGGTTTGATTTCTGACTGAACTGACCCCATCTAATGTCTTCTCCTGTTTGATGTGTGTGCGCGTGCGCAACATTACTATAAATAGATACAAGGAGCATGTGGCGATGGCTGTGTGCTTTGCTCAGCTACTCTCTGTAGCAGAAGGCCTAGTTTCATTGTCATCTCAGCATGTTCAGAAAAATCCTAGTGTGTCCTTGTGACTAGGACCCATAGAATTAATGATTATATTTGACAAGTTTATGCCACTCATTGCAGGATACGCAGCATTAGCATGTGTGATATCATGTGGCAGACTTACAAATGTGACAAAAAAAGGTGTAAAAGACTGATTGTCTTCCAACTGTGTTGACAGCAGCAGTCCACAATTATTCTCACCATTCTTTTTTTAGGTTCCTTCATGTCCTACTCCACAAAGTGTGTCATGTATAAATAAAATACAAATTATAGGAAGAGCTGTTACTGACTGACAGAAAAGCAAGAGTTATTAAAGGTCAATGACACAGGGTCAAGAAATATCTCTGCCCTCTGACCTTGATGTGCTTGATGTAAATTGCCTTAACTAACTGAACCAGCTCTGTTACCTGCGACACTTTTGTTAGTAAGTCTTAATGCCTCTTTATACATTACAAATATTTTCAGCCCATTCTCGTTCTCACCCTTCTCTCCAATTTTAGCGTATGTGTTACAAGTCAAAGTTGAAATGGAACTGGAGATCCAGCAGTGTGAGAAGACCAAGGCTGTGAGAGAGGAGCAGCTGGAGCGTCTCACTCAGATTTGTCAGGAGCAGGCTGTGAGTACCAACACATCTGAGATTTACTTTGCATTACTTACTTTTAATTGATGTGGAAAGGTTTTCTAATGGTGACTTTACAGTACAAAACTTTGATGGTCTCATTTTCTGTAGTAGTGCCTGTGTAAAACTCGAAGGACATTAACTGACAAGAATAGAGCTTTAAAAGCACCTTGGATGCAGGCACAATAATTTGTGTTGGCTAATAGCGCATGTAGTCGTACTGCATTGTATTGCAATGAAGAACATTTATTTTAACTTTAGACGCCATGGATCTAGCTGTCCTTTTTAAACTCTTTACTGCACTAAAGGACTGATTAAGGATACACGTTGTTCTTGGTCACATAAGCGACTGTAAGTTGATCTTTCACCAGAAGAGGGCAGCAAAACATCACAAACATGTTTCCTGCTTACCTGATTCGGATCAGCGGAAGAAAATGGAAACACACTCTGACACTCCCATAATTATGATGAAGACAGTTACCAAATTCTGGTTCTTTAAAAAAAGGAGACAGTATTTCACTATTTATAACCAGGTATCACCGTATCTGTATAAAAAAATGTTTGCTTGTTTCTACTTTTGTGTACCGAATTTAAATGTATTCCAGAAACATGCTTTCTTTTCCTGTTTTTTTTTCTCTTATTCCTGCACCACCTCATCCTTCCCTGTCCTCTCTCTTCCCTTTCTTCTATTTTGTTTTTGTCTCATTTTGCTGTTCTCCAAATTTTTTATCGGGCTTCAATTTTCACGTTCCTGCACTTTCTCAAACTACTTGCTCACCCTTTTCTACAACCCCCTGTGACTTTCCATATTTATTTGTGTTTTTCCTCTTCATATTTATTCTTAAGTTTGAGATCAGGCAACTGAGGGCACATCTGGCCCAGCAGGACCTGGACCTTGCAGCAGAGCGTGAAGCAGCCATGCAGATCCACCATGTTTGGGACAAACAGGGCAGGAATTTTCAGGTTGTGGAAGGTTTGCCTCCTGGGGAGTCTGACGATGAGGGTGGTCAGAGAAACCCCAGGGAGCCTCATGTCACTTCAGGTATAGTATAGCTTTTAAAACTGAGCTTATATCAACTGAAGGGTGTTTGAATTGGTTATAAAAGATAAATTAAAAAACTGAAAATGACTGAATCAAAGACTAAAATCTGTAACTTCAAAAAATAGCACAGTGGTTAGCACTGTTGCTTCATAGCAAAAAGATCTGAAATCACAGGCTGGCTGGTGAATTTTTGTGTGGACCTTGTTCTCCCCATGCCAGCATGGCTCTGGCTTCTTCCCACAGTCCAAAGATATGTATATTAGGATAATTGGGACTTCTAAATTGGCTTTAGGTATGAATGCTAGTGTCAATGGTTGTATCTTCATCTGCCCTGCAACAGACTGGTGAACATTCCATGCTGTGTAGTCAAATGTTTGTGCATGCTGGAGGTATTTTCCCTCTTTGTTTTGATCAGTTTTGGGGGTCATTACTCGAAAAAAGTAAAATAAAGTAAAATAAAGTAAAAAAAAATTGTTATGCATATTATAAAGAACACTCCTCTTAAAGTTGTGCAGTATGTTACTTAATTACACCCAAGAGAAAGACTTACGTTAACGTTACTTTCATCTTATTCTGTAAAATGACCTGAAACTCATTGTCTTATAATTATCAATTAACAATATAAACCTTTAGCACTCACCAAGCTTTAAAATCACTCTGGGTTCTTGGCTAGCTTAGAGTTAGCATGCTGCGCTTGTGAAGAACTGAAGTTGTGTTAACAGTATGATGCAGTTGTTTTTGTCCTGGAGCAGTCTCCACTTTACCATCATTCTCTCATACTTTTGTGCAATAAAATTAAAAGTAATGTCTATATCCATGCTGTAGACTGCTCCAATATTTTTCATCTCTGACTACAAACTGAAATCAGCTGATCGTTGCGAGAATGCAAGAACCGATAAGTGGGATCAATAGGCAGGCAGACTAACGATTCCAAGGAATTGGACTGCTGGGAACCAGTTCTCTACAAAAACCAGTTCTTGATTCTCATCCATGCTTAGACTCTGAACTGGACATGCATGGATGGATGAATGGATTGATTGGTTATATACCCTACCAGGTGCAAATTTTGTTTGAGGAAACAGTGTAACAAACCAGAAGAGAGGTGCAACATAAAGTATGTACATAATTATGTGGAACAAAAAGTCTGTTACACGGTAGCATCAGGTGAACTGAATGCCAGAGCAGTGTACACTTAATCTGGAGCAGTACCCCTGGAGCATCTTTGAGGGCAAGCTCTTAGCCCTTCCATGCTCACATGCAATACCCATCTGACCGCAGGCGCTCTGGGATCAATGCGGGGGCAAAAAAGCTTTTAGCATCTGGTGAATCCTGGAGAAAACAAGTATGTTCACTGACACTACGTCAGGTTGCATGGCTTCTGTCATGCCCCAACTATCTCTCTTACTGCCCCCCTCATGGCAAGGCCAGCGGAGCAATCCCAAACTGACTGGGCTGTTTCAGGTACAGAGTGTTCTGTGCATTGGGCCTTGTTAGTAGGGAGTCGGCTCCTGTCAACATCTGTTCCCCTTCACCTGCAAACCACAATAGGGCATCAAGAGGCTCCATGGTGGCCACAATATTACCCCGAGGGCATAGTGGGAAATCTGGCACACAGAAACAAGTGGGGCTTTTTACAGAAACATGGTCACTGGGATGAGCACTTAGACCACAAAGCTCAAGTCAAGTCAGGTGAACTCAATTCAAGCTTATTTGTTTTACACACAACGTTTCAGCTGGCTTCTCACCCTCCACACGGAGAGCCATTAAACCTCCAAGCGCTCATAAAAGGCAAGAATAAGCTATATATCAGGAGTGTGATGATTTTGACACCTACATGTACTCTCAATGCTGCAATAGTACAGAAACAGTAAAACAAAAGGTGGATCAACATTCTTGATTGTAGTGAGCATTTTTAAAAAACCCTACTGTGACTATTAAAAGAAATGCTCAAGTTAGATATTACACTAAAAGAGCACAGGTCTTTCTATTTCAAACCCAATTTTGTTACCTAATCTTAACCAAACCGAGACTGAAAGACAAACATTCAAAGAATAAGTCTAATGCAGTTTCATTCACTACATGTCCTTCCTTATAAAGACCTGCCTTAATTTCAGGATGAAATGCATGAAGGCATATTTTTTCCTATCATAGGATAGGTGGGCATCTTGTGGTCGAGTTGAGTATTGCAAAAAAAAAAAAAAACTGAAAATGGGTGGAAATGGGAACAAAATGACACACATGCTGGAAAAACCTTTACTCAACTCTTCTTAAGTCAAGAACTTATAACGTTACAATTCAGTTTTTGCCTCCCAGGGTTACCATAAGGTTACAATAAGAGGCTGGCGAGCATTACAAACAAATTGATATCAGTGATGACATTAGATAAAAACTCATGGGATCACCATATAGTATTGTACATACATTGTATAGAGAGACCACTAATGTCTCTAAAGAATTTTGAGCACAAAAAATGCACAAAATATCAGATATTCTGTTGTTGAGTCCAGATGACAGACTGACACTTTTAAATTCTTCTTGTACTTCTTTCGGGTGTTCTGCTTAGGGGTCACTGGAGCAGCTCATCTGCTTCCATCTCAGTCTTTCCCTAGCATCCTCTTCTGTCACACCAACCCTCTGGATGTTCTCCGTCACTGCATCCTTGAATCTTCTCAGTGGTCTTCGACTTATCTTCGCTGTCCTTTGTCTGTTATATACACTTTATTTAGCCTTACCTCTCTGACTTTGTCTTTAATGCAATCAACCTAAGCTGTCCCTCTAATGACACTTTTAGTTAGCGTGGCTAAAAGGTCTCTATAGACAGGTGTTGGACACTAACTCTTCAGAAACATTGTGTTATAAAATCAAAAGTCATATGTTCCAAATCTAAAGTTATCTTTAATTTTTATATGTCACCATTAGTTTCCATAATTGTTCTGTTTCCCAGGATCTGTCCCAACTATTTCACCTGTGGTTTATTGCTTGGTGTGCTAAAATAATTTTATAGTTGTAGTTTGAACTAAAAGAACCTCGGCATGTCACCTCTCCTTTTCCACAGAGATGACGACTTGGTAACTTGACTGTCACAGAAAGAAGAGGAGAGTCTTTATGTATGCTGGACTGCCCATTCTTTTTTCTTAAGACTCATGTGTTATTAATTGTGGAGTGATTGTCTCAGCCTTGTTTTAGTGAGTGCAATGCTTCCTCTCCAGGGGTGGCTCAGGGATTAATATTTTAGACTGAAAAATAAATGAAATTACCCATCAGAGTCTGCAGCATGTCCCGCGGGACAGGGGCTAGCACTCAGGGTACTCTGGGTTCGCACTCAGCCAGCGGACAGTGAGCTTAAGACCAATCAAGCGAACAGAAGAGCACAGCAGATCACAGTTATTCACCATGCACACTGAGGCAGGCTAGACTGGAGGGCTCAGAGCCTGAACAAAGAGCTCCTAGACTCTCTCACTCTCCCCCATTTCTCTAATCCCTGAAACCAACCCCACCCTGTCTCTGTCCCAGTTTATTCCTAGTACACTAAGGTTTGGCTAATGCACAAATGTAGCAGTGCGTGATCCAGGCCACTTGTCTATAAAGCACCTGTGGCCTGGGGCAGAAGTCATCTCTGTCAATATTCTGTTGTAAACATACAAGATATTTTCCATTTGGACTAGTTTGCACTATGAACATTGACATGGACCAAGGTTTGGACAAATAGGTGTGTAATCCAAACCCAGTGACTTACACATGATTATTAGGATGTGTCCGTTAAAGTATATTTAATCCTAATCTCACACTACTGTAAGATAATTATACTTTTGATTCCATTTTATATTCATAATAGTTAAAAAGTGTTTACAGTACTGTTAGTAACAACAGTAATTAGATTTGTTTAGTTTGTTTAGTTATCATGTCAACTATACAGGAGAGGATACAAAACACTGTATGACAGGCAAGAAAAACTGGGCCTGGCATCTTTTAGCAAATAGATTATATATACTTGCCCTAACATATACTGGACGTGTCCATGCCCCAGCATCCAATTGGTTGGTTTAGTGCTATGCAGAGGTTTGCAGACACACATGCACATGCTGTAGTTGTGATTTACATTCACTGGCATTTCATTCGCCTGTTTGTGACATAGATTTAATAAGGTGTTGGAAACATTTCCCGGAAATGTTTTTCCATAGGGATATGACAGCATCACATAGTTAACCATCCACGATGTGAATCTCCTGTTGCACAGCAAGCCAAAGAAACAAATAAAGAGGATGGTTAAAAAGTACGGATGAGTGGAAGTAAGAATGCAACCAGAAAAATTGATTCTGAAAAAAATATTCATGCTTGTTTCAGTATTTTAATTTAGAAATCAGCTGAAACAAAAACAAACTGTCATTGTTTTATTCTCTATTTTTAACTCAGATCCAGTTGTACGTGATGACATGAACAACTACATCAGCCAATATTACAGTGAAGCAAGCAGCGGTAAGTGACAGTAGCAAATAAAAAAAGCCATATTTGTATGGATGTCTTTATCTGCATATACTTTTTCTAAACACGTGTCTGTCAAGATGCTGGGGCTTCTGGCTTAGGTGCGCGGGTCATCACGACAGCAGCCATTGACGTTCACCTACCCACCAGTACAAACGTCATCCAGTCAAATCCTATGCTTGCTATGGAGCGGGTGGGCAGCGCTGTAAGTGATGCCTCCACCAGCATATCACGGTCCAGTGGCAGCCTCACAGCCCGCCCCCACAGCCTGAGTAGCCATACTCCGGGTTCATCAATGACAGACTGCAGCAGCAGCGCAGCTCAGGACTTCAGTCTGAGCTACAGCTCCCATCGCTGCTGCCCCCCTTCCTTCTCAGGCCAGGACCCCTGCAAGGACCCCAGCATGGTGGTGCAGGAGCTACTCTCCTCCCTCTCTGAGGACTCCTGCCTTGCTCAAAAGGGCCTAGTAGTAGACCCTGTCAACCTCAAGCTTCCCAGTCCGACTGGCTCAGAAAATGCCAGCCCTGAATTGGACAACAGAATAAACATTTTCAATCGCAGGAACCAAGAGGAGAGACGGGGCCGGGGAAGAGGTTGTGTGCTGTTGCAGACCAAGCCACTGATCCACCTGCAGGGCAGCAGCACTGAGCCGTCACTGGAGGAGAAGTACCGGCTACTGGGACCAGCTGACTCACCTCTAGGGCATATGTCTGATACATAAGCAAGCGTTATTTACACAGGAACAGAAGCTTTTACTCTTTTTATTTTTTACTGCCATCCCATTTGGCATATATCTGAACTTTTGTGACAGATCAAACCTCATGAGAGGGACCACACAAGATTTGAAAATTGGATTCATCTGTTACTGAGTAAATCGAGACTTAGCCAATTCAGAGCAAGCTCAAGCCTTAGCTTCTAGCTAACAGCGATGCTCCTTGAGTTGTTGTTTTCAGCTGTCATTAGTAGAAATTAAAAATGATCATTTTTGGGCCCTTTGGCATCCTGTCTAACCTCCCCTGTTTCTCCTTAATAGATTTTTGAAATCCAAGAAACCCCAGATATAGCACAACAAAGACAATACCACCCTATCAAAGGGGCATCTAATGTGTTTTTGGACACATTCTTCATCAGGAATTCTCACTTTGAATAGGTCCTAAATGCACTGAACTTTACGTGAATTAAAACCAGCAAAGGGCCATTCAAGCCTATACTGAACAAAAACATAAATGCTGAGCAGTGTTGCCATCTTAGACACTGCTCTTGAGAATTTCAAGCAGTAAAAGGAGTGTTTTCTATTGCTTTTTGTTGTTGTTCTGTTTCTTTTCAGTTTTATTTTCAAGTTTAAACATTAATTATGCTGTTCTTTGTTTAAACAGCCACAGGGTAAATACTGTAAGACTGGCTAAACTATTGAAAAGCCAATTTTCTACCTTTGCCTTTTTGTCACCTGTTTGATTTAAAGACCATGGACCATCATCAAAATTTATTAAATAGCAGTTTTGTTTTCAGAAGTTGTTAGTAGGGTATATTTGTGTGGTTGAAATGAAACGGTAACTGACTGGGCTCTTCACATGGAACTAGACTGGAGTGCTTGTAGCATGAACCTTTAAAAGAAATGTGCCATAAACGGTGAGCAAATTCTTTGCACTTTAATGTTTACAGACACTTTTGTAAACTTCATATGGAGGAAGTCATTGCCAAATGAAGGTGTTGTCAATTGAATGAAAATAGCAAAAAATAAAAGATAGTATTTCTTTAACTGCTCTTAGATCACTGACTCTTGTGAATTTATGATGTTAAATGATTTAAAGGCGTACCAAAGATACTTCACCAGGATAAAACATAATTGAACCGTGTGATTACTCTTATCAAAGATGTTCTTTTCACACGCTTCTTGCTGCACACGCCACTTGCTGCACACGCCACTGTCACGTTGTTTCATTAGCGTCATCTTCTTATTTGCATATGATTTTGAAAAATTTAAATTATTTAAGGTTATTAACATTGGACCTGTCAAAACAACCACTAATTGGTGAAGTCACTGTAAGTGTGTCGTGAGAGGAGACATCCCCCCTAATTACCCTCCCGTATCAATAATTCAGAAGATAAACTGCTGTTACATTTTGTTGCTTGTCAAATGTTTACAAGTATCCAGAGAATGTTTTAATTGTTAATAACGATTATGGTTGTAGTTACACTATCGACACAAGTTTTCAGAGTTCAGTATTTAATTTGCAAAATGGACTTTGAGGATTGGTATTACTATTCTTTTTTAATTAATTCATAAATGAGACCGTATCTATCTATTACACATTACAATATATTATTACAATAATAAGATAATAAGGTTAATATCAGTTTTAATTTCTAAGAAATCTCGATCTTTCTCTCTTTTTGAAGAGCAAAGAATACAGAGTAACAAACCACAGACTAGTCTTATGGACATAGATGGTAGAAAAGTATTCATCTTAGACCAAATAAGTGTCGATGTAGTGAGTAGGGCGCATTCAAAATGTGAAATTTAGAAATAAATAGAATAACTTTATTGTCTTAAAGCTGGAATCATTAATTCAGAAGATAAACTATCGAACTATTTGAAAGCTATATGTAGCTATAAGTAACTATAACTGTAACTATAAGTAACAAAGAAGTTACTTTATACATTTCTTAAGTTCATATATATATTTTAAAAAAGCTATTTTGCAATAGTTGCTCCATGTAGCCTTAACTGTTTCCATTTCTTAAATAAGACTCACACATTAAATAATCATGGATACATTGTACCTAAACAATACAGAGCTGCACAATTCAAGCATTGTCACTTGAGAAAAAAATGGCATGAATTGAGCTTAGTAAGAAAAAAAAAAGCTTCAGCAGCCAACTGTGTTTTTTTTTTAACAGCTGACATGTAATGTGATAACCTGAATCTGCAACTTATTAGACATTACCAGACTCATCACATCAGTCTACTTCACAAAAACAACAATGCCTATCGCATGCCGTGGAACAAGTAAATAAATAATGATACGCTTGGCTCCTGACACACACAAAGGAATCCAGTTGAATATGGGTGCCAAACCCTGGTTTGGCCTCTATCTGATACAGCTGCCTTTGTGTTAATGTCTCAAGTGGAGGTACTCTGCCTCTAACCTAAACTCCTTCCAGCTCAACCAGCCATGTAAAAGAAGCGATAACTCATATGGTTCAATTTCCAACTCAACCCCGAACAGCACTGTCCAGTGATGAAACTAAAGTACTAGTATAGGCATCCGTGAGAAAGTACATTTACCTAGTTAAGACTGTCTGTAAGTGTCCCATCACTTTCAGAAGACATCCTAAGAAGTAAATTGCTTTTGGGATCTCTCCAATGAAACCACTGGGTAGGTCTTGTCACACTCACAGGAGGTACATTTACAGTGACCATTAGACACTTAATAATTGAAATGTTTTAATAATGGCACAGAGGGAGTCCCTTTAGCTACATTAACATTACATGATCATTGTTTTCATTCTCGTTAACAAAGGAAAACCAATGGATTAGATTTGCATTATCGAGCCCTTTGGTACTGTAAGACTAAGGAGCATATATCTGTGTTTATTCTTTCCTTTAATATGCAAGTTCCTAATCTATAGTAACATTAAGGCTCCTATTACTAAAATATAAACTAAACTAATAACTAAACAAATTCTGTAAATGATAGACGAAGAACTTTGAACAGTCACTGCAGATTTTCATGTGTATTAATGGAATTATCTGTGGACCCTTGAGATCAAGAGGACCCCACCTCTGAAAGTTTGAAAGTCATTGTGGAAAAGATAAGCTATTTGTTTTAGAAAATCAAAAAACAGCTTTATTACTATTTTATTAGCTAATGTATCTTTAGCTAAAAGAAAGCTGCTATACAACAGAAAGAGCGTACTTTGTAGCAGAATATATCTTTTTTAATAATGTCTAACTTAAGGTGTCTTTGTCATCCTGGTTCTACCATGATCAGAGTATGAAGTGCATGATCACATCAGCCAATCACATGGGAGCAGCTCACTTCATTTAGGCATGTATTGTAGACATTGTGAACATCCTGTTTAACTTTTAACAGGTAAAGACCTTAAAGAGTTACTAGAGTCTTTAGACAAAAACTGACTCCGTATTATATTTGCTAGGCAACACAGTTGCTTAAAGTTTTAAAGCAACTGTTAGTTATCAAGGTATTTGCATTCATTTTAAAGGTCAATAATGTCAGTGTTTATGACTTCAGAAGGACAGCGAAGCAAAGTAAATCCAAAATATGACGGAAATTGGGCTGAATCTTATTCTGGACTGCTGCGGATTCTTGAGGTATGCTTGCTCTATGTTCACTGTAAAATTTGGGTTAAAATAAATCTTTTGAGATAAGTAATAATAATAATAACTAATAACTGGTAGTTCACATGAAATCTAAAATAATCTGGACTGGTTGTGTTCTTATCTGTGGCTAAACTTTAGCGTACTAATAAAGTTATCATTCAAGCTTAGCTTACTTAAAAACAAATCAAACTTCATAGTATTAAATAAGGATATAGGTTTTATAACCTACACTGAGCCACAGGGATGTCTGAAATTTTTGGCTTCACTTCTGGAGAATCTTGTCATTGATCTTTATTCATAATTTGTACAGTATTTCTCTACAGACACATTTCTTTTTTCTTTTTTTACTTCTGCCTTCTTACTTTTTTTGACACCCTAGTTACCAGCATCTAACAGTGCACTTGACTAAAACGGGGTTTGTTGGTGGTAATGCAAGAGCAGGGAATCCTGCCGTGTGCTGCCAGCTTTATAACAAAAAAGTTAAAAATAGGTTACATTTCATGACTTCTTATAAAGGCTCAAATTAATTGCAGTTATGTTTAAAAAGCGTTAGTCTGCCATTTAGAAGATGTGCACCACTGGAGCACTGACTGTGATGTAAAATGAACTGGAATATGAAGAATGTTTACACCATTAAAACCAACAGGTATACAGGAAAAAAAAGTGTTCTTTCGAGGGACCTTACTGATGCAACTCCAAAGAGCTCTTGCTTGTCAATGTGACTTTTTATAAAGTGCATGTAAGAGGTTTTGAATACGGCCCTGTGACACAGAACAGCTGGGTATATATTAAATAGAGTAAAGCTCATTGAGAACAAATAGATGTGGGGAACACAGCTGCTGTGGCCTGACAGATTGAGAACACATCTCACACAGGACACTCCTTCAAGAGGCTCTGATGTAGGAGAAAAATACAAATAAATTATAAATCATTCTTTAAAAAGGTTCTCAGGTTTTCTTTTTGAAACATACTTCTTAAGTGCACAGGATCCAGAGGTTTGCCTGGTGGAAAAAATCCACTCGGGAGACTGTTGTCATGGCTACAGAAGATTTTTTTTCTCTGCATTTACATAAAACAGTTTCTTGTGGTACCCTCCCCTCAGATTCTTCCTTTGCTTCTTTGGGTAAAAGTGGGTCAACAGCAGAAAAAAAGAGAACTCGAAACAAGACCCTGTGAGTGACTAAGCTCAATCACTTCAGTTCTCTGGAGGAATAATATCAATTATTAAACCTGTTTGTAGTAAAGTATGAAGATAAATAAAGTCAGAAACTACGTTTGCCTGAGTCTGATTTTGCAAAGTTTTTGTAATTTTTTTGTAAACTTTACAAATTTTGTAAAATTATTAAAATTCTTTGGCTTTTTTTTTCACTTATTTTTGAAAAAACAACAACAACAACAACAACAAAACAACAAAATATTGTGCATTGCTCCTTCATATGTTAACGTAATCAAAAGAAGTTGATTTTCACACTATCATGTGAAAATCACAAGGGCGCTACTCACTTAGCCCTTTGGGATAAGGAACATCAGCTTGTGCTCCAAGAACCTCAATAAAATACTGAACATCTAAATGTATTCAGCAATCCAGCATGTAAGAAGACAGCTATGCTTGACTGGATACATAAAGAATAAATTAACAAACATTTTTTTAAAGGAACACTTTTGGGAAATGGTTTTTCTGCAGTTAACATATTTTTAAAAATCCTGTTGAAGTACATTTACATATTCAGCATTCTACTTTTGCAACAAATGCACAATCAGTCTAAACACACATTTACACACATGGTTTTAGGAGATGTGAGCACACTCAGTGAAAATGTTAACTGCAAACTGCAAGCTTTATAAAATGAATAAAAAACACGAGTTTTGTCAACTGCAAAACCTATACTGTGTTTCCTACAATATGAATATGTAATAATAATACTGTAGGTACAAATATGGGTTAAAATAACATGCAAATTACACTCAGTGTACAGAAGGTCAACTAAAAATTCAAAAAATAAAAATAAATTCTATTCTCTCCTTAAAATGTTTCAGAACAAGAAGCAGGGTTTCTATCAGATTGACCCGATCTTTCATTTTTGTACTAATTACTTATTTGTTCAGAATGAGTAGAAAAGTAATTCACCAATAAATCATTCAGTTGTTTTCTTAATGATTTTTCTTGCCTTAAAAGTCTAGATAGTCTTTAATTTTTCAACTGCGCATGAGTGACTCGATATTTTGCTGTATCTCTGGACACTAGTGCAGTCACTGACATCCTGACTTCAGTAGCCTTTAATTTGGCCTTACTTTGTAGCCTCAGCTAAATCACAATCACTGTCCCGACTAGAGCTCAGGGTGTCTGCCAGCGCGTGCTGGGGCCCTGCAGCATTTCCATCTGGCCTCTGGGGAGTCGCACATCAATTGCTCTCAGCTAAATGCA